AGGGTGTGGGTGTGGGTGTGGGTGTGGGTGTGGGTGTGGGTGTGGGTGTGGGTGTGGGTGTGGGTGTGGGTGTGGGTGTAAGTCTTCTCTCAAATCTCACGCGCATCTCTACACCCACATCCACACCCACACCGACACCCCACACCCACACCCACACCCCACCCACACCCTCACCCACACCCAAACCCTTTACTTCGGGAAATCGCATGATATCATCTTCAATTCTTATAGAAGCACACATCAAAAGAAGTTCACAAAATTTATAGAAAAACATAGAACACACTTTCAAAATTCTATTAGAGCTTTGTATACATTCTCGAACATTCGTTGATCACACTGTTTGCAACTGAGTTCTCTAGGAAAGCACAAGCTCAATGGAACTCTTAGCTGAAAATGAATCCTATTGTATTTGCTCTCTAATTCAAATATCATACATGTGAGAAAACTTCTATTCAAAGCAGCGATAAGAATAGACAGACAATTTAGATATATCCATATATGTTCAGATATCTGAATTAATACAAAGAAAAGTATATACCAGAAGAAATACTCTTGTTCTACGTTCATGTCCACTATTGATACAGCACATATAAATTCTTTTATTAATCAATTATTCAATTGTTGAATAGATAAAGTTCAGATATTCAACTATTTAATTACTCAACTGTTTCTTTTTCGATTCTTTGAACTTTGCACATTTAATTATTCAGTTATTCCACTTTCTTTTTGGAAACTCAATTCGTTGCATATTCCTCTAAAGGTGTGATCTTTATGCATGAAAACGAATATGTCTCTCTCAGAGAAGGTACGTTTTCCGCATTCTTATCTTGGGTCATGATGTGTGAACTCCAAAGCACCTATTTCATCTCTAGAAGAGTCCTTTTTTCTGAGAAAAATGAATAACTGAATAATTGAGCTACGCTTTTAATAATTGAATTCAAGTTTCAAGCTTGATCTATATAACCTTGCCATAAATTTTTCAGCTTTTTGTATCTGATATTTCTTATTCAGACCCATTAGACCCCGACTATTGAGGATCTTCCGAAGAATTCCAAAACTTTCAAGCAGCGCTTCTGAAGATAATCCTGTGGAGCAGTTAGCCCCTCTGATCTGATTCTGCCATGAAATAATTCTTTTCACTCCAACTGTATCAGATATCAGACTTTTCTAACTTACGAAAACTGTTAACTTCATAACATAATTACTCCGAATGAGCTAATCTAAACCAACAGCTTCCTATCATTTATTCCTAGTTTCTTTCACCTAATTGTTTAGCCAATATATTAGAGTTTTATTATGGCTTCTGATTGGGAGTATCTTAGTTGGCTATTCTTAATAAACGTAACTTTCATGGTAAAATGTTTTTAAACAACATTAGAATACGTTTGCAATATTAGCAACAGTTTTTCGACAGTATTTTTCTCAGACCTTTCTCATAGTAACTTGGCTTATTCCTGGACAACATAAAAACAATCCTGAATTATTCTGCAATTATCTTGCGGATTCTAAGTTCACTTAAAGATTCCTTTAATGCTACTTCTGTCGACTTCAGCAGAGTGTATGGACAAAAAGCTGTTTAGCTCAGAAACCAGTGGGAATAAGCAGGAATTGCAGAATGTCACACACCTCAGCCTGAGTGCCAGTGGTGTGTAAACACTATTCTGTCATGCTACTACTTACTCAAACACCTACACCATTAGTTCACATTGCGATCCACACCTAAAACGACATGATGAATACGGTAGCAAAACTAAACGATCACCGCAGATTCAGAATACGCAGAAGGATTTTCCATGTAACGAGTTTTCCTTTTCTTCAAATGCTTTCTCTAAAAAAAAAGTCACTTTTCCCTCAGAAAATAATTCACAGACACAACTATAACTTTTTTCATACAAATGACTATTTGAATTTTTGCAAATCTGACTTCAGATTAAGATGTCCCGACCTCGACTTGCTTTCGTGAACCTTTATACGATATCGTTATTTTCTCAAAAAATCCTTTCTTTCATTCTAAAAAACTCAATTCCAAATTTGAAAAATCTCACCTCAGACTCGGAGGGTGTGGGTGTGTGGGTGTGGGTGTAGGTGTGGGTGTGGGTGTGGGTGTGGGTGTGGAGGTGTGGGTGTGGGTGTGGTTGGGTGTGTGGTTGGGTTTGGGTGTGTGGGTTGGTGTGGGTGTGGTGTGGGTGTGGGTGTGGGGTGTGGGTGTGGTTGGGTTTGGGTGTGTTGGTGGGTGTGGGTGTGGTGTGGGTGGGTGTGGGTGTGGGGTGTGGGGTGTGGGTGTGGTTGGGTGTGGTTGGGTGTGTGGGTGGGTTTGGGTGTGTGGGTGGGTTTGGATGTGTGGGTGGGTGTGGGTGTGCGTCATTCTCTCTCAATTAGACCGACACCCATCGAAACCCTCACACCCACAACGCCATTCACACACCGACACGCATGCCCACACCCACATTCACATCCACACCACCCACACCCGCACCCACACCCACATACACACCCACACCCACGCACACCCACACACCCACACCCACACCTATTCTATTCGCATCCCATTCAGAGTGAAAACATTCACTCCAAGTTGCCTTATGCATGTAAATCTCAAGATGAAAAACTGAGTATAAATGAAATGAATTATTTTCTATTATATCTTTCGTCTTTGTGTTCATAATTCTGAATGGCAAGATAATATGTCATTTTCTCAGTTAATATGATAGGTTAACTTTATATAGGATGATTGGCTGTCAAACAGTCTAACTTATATCAAAATAATGTCCTTAATACATTTACAGTTGCTTCGAAAATATTTTATGTTCGAATAGTTACTCAATGCTTTTTGCTCTTATCATTAAAAAGAAGTCCACTTCAATCATGTTCTTTTCTTATAAACTCAACTCATCAGTAGGTAAATATATATGTGGGAGTTGTCTTTAAAATTCAGTTGCCTTTTAAAGGCAACTAGCTGACTTTAAAATATTCGTGAAAAATTGAAAAGACAACTAGTTGACTCTGAAATATTTTTGAAAAATTTTAAAGTCAACTAGTTGCCTTTAAAAGGCAATTGAATTTTAAAGTCAACTCCGACATATATATATATATATATACATTCTAATGTCACATTTATTATGGATTTATCCAATCTACTAAAAAGAAAGAAGTATTTAGTAATATAAAATCATCATAAAATGATAATAAAATAGTTTATTGTGTAGACTTGATTATTTTTCATCTAGCTGGTGATAGACAATAAAGCATTATATCAAAAGAGTATGTATCTGAAAGAATAAAGCATTTTTCAAATGCGTATATTAATATAGTAGTTAAAATTATAATTTATTGAACAATCTATAGAATAGATTTGATACTATTAGTTTAAACAAATATGGATTAAGTGTATGAGTTTCACCTTTTACTTTTTCATGTGCACAATGCTTTAATTCACATTAAGCAAAAGTAAGGAAGTGATAACTATACACGAATTAGGTAGTGAGCAAAAAAAAGGAATGCGATAAGTAATGTCAATGAACTTCTAAAGGAATCACTTTTTTCCCGTACAGTAATCATGCATCGATATTCTCATTGTAACAATAAATTCAGATCTATAGAAAGAGCTGATAAAGATTAGTTATTCAAAATAAAATTTTACTTCAAGAAAAAAAAACATTTATTGAAATGTATCTGAATTTCAATATAAAAACATGAACGATAATTAAGTTACTATAAACTTTATATAGATAACTCTAAATTATTCATTAATGTTATTTTTCAATTTAGAATTACAACATTAATCAAAAATGATCGATAGAAAAGAAAATAGAGAAAGTATTACTATTGTTTGGCTTAATTCTCTCAATGATACGGTAAACATCGTTGAACGATTACGTGAAATAAATGATTATGTTCTATGTTACAATGACATAGAGTCTTGTATAAATTATCTGAAATCAGTTGACAAAGACAAAGTCTTCTTGATAATATCGAGTTTTGATGCTACTCAAATACTGTCTCAAATCAATATGTTTTCACAAATTGGCGGAATCTTTATCCTTGATTTTGACAAAAGTCAAAGGAACGAGTTCGTTTTTGAACATAAAAAATTCTTCGGTATTTTTAATGAATTAGATAATTTATATTTGTCAATCGAAGAACAAATTGAATTTGACGATCAATTATTTCAAACATTCAGTATTTTTGATCAATCAAAATATTTAATAGAAAATCTATCAAAACAAACATCTGATTTATTTTGGTATCTACTTATTGGTAATATTCTTTTACAACAATTATCTCATAATCAATTAGACAAAAATGATATGATCAATTTATGTCGTCAATATTATCAAGATAATTTGAAATATTTAAAAATAATTGATGAATTCGAACATGAATATCATTCGAATAAAGTTATTCAATGGTTTTTAAACAAATCTTTTCCTTATAAAATGATTAAAAAAGCATTACAAATTAAAGATATCGATCAATTAATTAGATTGAGATACTTTTTGAGCGATCTTATACAAAGTTTTTCAAATCAATTTCATAATATGATCGAATATGACAATGAAAATTTTATAGTTTATCGAGGAATGAAATTATCAAAAGAACAAATTGAAGAATTCAAACAAAATCAAGGAAAATTTCTTGTAAGTAATAGCTTTTTGACAGCAACTCAATCTCATTCAAATGCATTAAATTTTGCAAAAATATCAATAAAACAAACAGATATTATTCCTGCAATATTACAAATTGAATGTAACTCAAAAGATGTTTATAAAAATATTCTCTTTACTAATAGAAACATATTAAAAGATCAATCTAATCAAGATGATGTTTTATTTAATTTACATGTTATATTCTGTTTCGATAAAGTTGAATTTAATGAAAATATCTTTTATATTAAACTTAGAATTTCGAATGAAGGGCAAAGTATTTTAGAAAAATATATTGAAGATACACGTCAACAATTTGAAGATCTTGATATTGAACTTATATTTGGACGTCTTATGTTAGATATGGGTCAATGGAATCAATCACAAAAATATTTTCAACGACTACTAATCAATTCAAATAATAAAAAACAAGCATGGATACAATATAGTCTTGGTCAAATTCATTGTTTAAAAGGTGAATGGATTATAGCACGTCAATATTATGATTATTCTTATGCTCAAATGTGTCCCAAAGAATCAGCTCATATACTTTCTAGTATTGGAGAACTTCTTTATATAGAAGGAAAGTTTGACGAAGCTCTGAATTTTCATGAACAAGCATTACAAATTCGAAAAGAATATTATTCTTCTGATCATCCTCATATTGCTCATAGTCTACGTTCTATTGGAGATATATTTCATAAAAAAGATAAATACGATGAAGCTTTTGTATATTTTCAAGAAGCACTTACCATTTTCGAGAAATATTATAAAAATTTTCATCCTGATATTGCTAAATGTATGTCATCTATTGGACTTTATTTTCGTGAACAAAGAAATTATGATAAATCTGTCGAATATCATCAACAATCTTTGATAATTTATGAAAAATATTATCCTTTTGATCATGTCTGTATTGCTTTAACACTCAATGATATTGCAGATAGTCTTTGTGCACAAGATAAAAACGATGAGGCTTTGAATGTTCATTGTCGAGCACTTCGAATACATGAGAAATTTATTCAATCTGATCATATTGATATGTCGAAACATTTTTGTACACTTGGTCACATTTATTTTGGACAAGGACACTACGAAATGGCTTTAGAATCTTATCAACAATCATTAGCAGTATTAAAAAAATCTTTGTTCTATGGTCATATTGATATTATTTGTCTATTGAATAATATTGGTATTATTTTGAACAACTTAGAAAAATTTGATGATGCTATGAATTTTCATCGACAAGCATTAACTATGGCAGAAAAGTATTATCCATCATTTCAAGCTAGAATAGCACAAACATTCATATATATTGGAAATGTTCTTAGATATCAAGAGAAATATGATGAGGCTTTAGATCATTATAAACAAGCATTAGTAATGCAAAAAAAATTTTATCCTTTAGGTAATGTGAATATAGCTTTTACACTTCAAAATATTGGTATTACTTTATCCGAACAAGGAAAGTATGATGAAGCTTTCGAATTTTATAAACAAGCAACAATCATGTTTGAAAAACATGATTTATATAATCAAAGTGATATTGCTTTTAATTTAATGGGTTTTGGTTGTATTCGAAGTCAGCAAGAAAAAATTGATGAAGCCATCAATTATTATCAAAGAGCATTACAAATTCAAAAAGATTATTATCATTCAGATCATTCTAATATTGCTGATACGATTAATAATATTGGTAATCTACTTTGTCGTCAAACAAAATATGATGAAGCTATGAAATTTTATAAAGACGCATTAGAAATTCAAGAAAAAAATTATCCTATTGGACATATCAAAATTGCTACAACATTAAATAATATTGGTCATGTACTGATGAATCAAATGAAATATGATGAATCACTTGACTATTATAAACAAGCGCACTTAATACTTGTCAAATTTAAAAGTAATTATCCATTGAATCAATTACAAATTGCTTTTAATCTAAGTTATATTAGTGATATTTTGCATTTACAAAAAAAATATCAAGAAGCTATCGAATATCAACAACGTGCATTATCAATTAAAGAAAAATGTTTACCATCTATTCATAAGCAAATTATTGCAAGTTGTATTAAAATTAGTCGTAGTTTATGTAGTCAAGAAAAATATGTTGATGCACTTGAATTTCAACAACGAGCTTTATCAATGGAGGAAAAAATTGAACCAATAAATCATACGAATATAGTTGATCGTCTTTGTGATATTGGTAAGAATTTTTTCGATCAAAAAAAATACGATCAGGCTCTTGAAATTTTTCAACAAGCATTAACAATAATAGAAGCATCTGATCCACCTAATCATGGTTACAATGCTACGATACTCAGTAATATTGGTGAGATACTTAAACAACAACAAAAATATGATGATGCATTCATTTTTAAAAATCGTGCACTTAATATACGTGAAACTCATTTTCCATCAAATCATCAAAATATTGCCAATATTCTTAATGATATTAGTATTATCTTTGACGAGCAAAATAAATATGATGAAGCACTTGATTTTCTTAAGAGAGCACTCGAAATACGAGAAACTCATTGTTCATCGAATTATCTAGAAATTGTACGTAATCTCAATGATATTGGTCTTATACTCTCCAATCAAAATAAACCTGATGAATCCCTTAGTTTTTATCAACGAGCTTTAGAGATTAAAGAAAATTTCGATCCAACTGATTATGAAGGTATTGTCATTATGCTTGTTACCATAAGTAATAAATTCAAGCAAAAAAAAAGATATGATGATGCATTGCATTACTTAGATCGAGCTCTCAACATACGAGAAACACACTTGCCATTAACTTATAAGCAAATTACTCGTCACATCAACGACATTGGTCATATTCCCTACGAACAAGAAAAATATAATGAAGCTCGTCAGTATTATCAACGAGCGTTAGATATCACAGAGAGATTCAATGCATCTGCTTATGAGGATATTGCTGTTCTACTCAGTAATATTAGTCTTACATATCAACAGCAAGAATATTATGTTAGAGCATTTGATTTTCGAAATCGATCACTTCAAATACGAGAAACTTATCTTTCATCAGATCATTTACAAATTGCCGATGGTCTTCATGAACTCGGCCATATTTTCCAAGCACAAAACAAATACGATGAAGCTCTTAGTTCTTATAAACGTGCATTAGAAATGAGAGAAACATTCGATCCATTGGGATATGAAAACATTGCTATTATACTCACTAGCATTAGCAATATACTTAAATATCAAAGAAAATTTGATGAGGCACTCAATTTTCAAAATAGATCACTTAAAATACTCGAAACTCACTGTCCAATGAATCATCGCTATATTGCATTGAATCTCAACAACATTGGCAACATTCTTCTAGGACAAGAAAAATATAATGAAGCATTCGATAATTATCAAAAAGTTTTAGCAATTTGTGAAGAATTTTATTCATCTGATTATGAGAGCATGATTGTTTGCCTTGGTAATAATGCTGATGTACTTGAAGATCAAGAAAAATATAATGAAGCACTTACTATATCGTCAACGAGCATTAACAATTAGAAAAGAATATTGTTCATCAGATCAAGAAGAAATTGCAAATAGTCTTACAAAAATTGGTCAGCTTCATGCAAATTTAAAACAATATGATAAAGCTCTCGAAGTCTATCAACAAACAATATCTATCAGAGAACAAATTCTTGAATCAGATCAAGTTCTGCATTATAATATACTACAAAATATCATTTTTCTTTTTTATCGATCGACAAAGTACGATAAAATTCTCGATCTCGAGCAAAAGATATTGGAAATATATGAGATATTGTATCCCGATGGTCATGCTAGTACAATTTCATGTCTTAATCGTATTATAAACATGTTAAACGAACGAAAAGAATATGACAAAGCGTCTAAATTCCAACAGAAATTACTGAAAGTAAACTTGAAGTGTGGTCTATGCAGTTATAAAGATGTCAGTAAAACTCTCATTGATTTGGCTAACGAGATGTATCTTATATACAGATATGGTGAAGCAATTGAATGTTATCAAGAAGCTTTAATATGCTTGGAAAAAGATGATCCGCTTGTCTATACAACTATGATTAGTGTACTAGAAAAAATGGGTTTCATTTTTAATATTCAACATCAATACGATGAAGCATTGAATGCTCAACGTCGAGCTTTACAAATTCGGAACGAAAACAAACCTATTGATCACTTAATGATTGCCAAAAATCTTAAAGAAATCGGTAATATACTTTTTAAACAAGAAGACTATGATGATGCTCTAAATTATTATCAACAAGCATTAACGATATTTGAAGAAAAATACCCCAAAAATCATATTGAAATAACTAATTGTTTACGAGAGATTGGTCTTGCTTGGAATTCAAAAACAGATTACGATCGTGCTGCGGAATATTTCGAGAAATGTCTGCATATTATAGAAGCTAGTGTATCTTTAGCTGATCCTATGATCAGTGACATTATACTCTATTTGAGTCTAGTAGAAGAAAAAAGAAATCATCGTGAACTTTCATTGGCACATGAAATCAATTATTGTTTGATTTGTCTTAAATTTCGACCATTAGATCAAAGACCTATTGGTTATAGTTTTTCTCGAATTGGTCAACATTATGAACATTTGAATAAACCAATATTAGCCATTGATTATTATAGACAAGCGTTAACTATATTTCAAAATTGTTTACCAGAATGGCATGAAAGTCGAATAGATATGGAACTAAAGTTAGAACGACTCTCGAAAGAAACAATCATGTGAGAAATTGATTTAAATAAACTATTATTCAATTATAAAGTATCAATAAGTACTTCTTTCTTCGTGTATTTTTCAATTCGTTTATTAGTAACATATTTCATGTGTATAAATTAAAGCAAAACCGACTAATGAATAAATTCTTTTATCCTTATAGAAATAAGAGGACATTTATTTAAATATTAATTATTGCATGTCTCTAACATTATTCTAGACGGATTTATGATGTCTGATATTGATGCACAGCAGATTGATGTTTGCTAGAGTGGTGTTTTGAGTAACATAGCATATCAATCTTGCATCTTTTGATTTATCTATAAAATTAGATTTCTGTGTATTCTATTTTTCAGCTTAAAAAGAATTCACAAAGCCTCTGTGTAATTACGTAATAGTATGAATTTTGCCAGAGGAATATTTAATGCGGATCTGAAAAATGTTTTCAATTCGATCAGTGAGTCTTAATTCGAATTGTGCCGTTCAAATTTCTGTATACTTATTAAAGGCAATATCGTTTATAAGGAAAAAGTTTCAAAGGCGGCTTTGATCTAAGTGAATGTCGAGAAGAAAGAATCAGTACTTTTACTTAAAAATGAGAAAGATAGTTTCACGAATAAAATAAGCACCATGTGTTCATTATGATGTTGCAGTGGCTTGATATTCCCGCCATCCTTACGTACTCTAGATCGTTGAAATGAGTGGAGGTTCCAAGCGCTCCGTCGTCTCGTTCTTTTGGGCGGGACGAAAAAACATTTTGCCGAAATCCTTGTTCAAAAAGCGACAACAGGCCATAACACCGCCGTCTGAGCAGCATTGCGGATACCCAGGTTGGCAACAGCCAACCGCTACTCTGCCACACATACATATAGTATAGCCGGGGTTGCATTGACCGTTGACAACCGACATGGTAGAAACTAGCAGCAGCAAAGCAAACATGGAGAGAATGAATCGATTCATGGTGAGATCGAGGATCAAGAACGTGTGCAGGTCTGTTTTTTTAAAGCTTGACGAAAATGAATTAATCAATGGGAGAAAGCGAACCATCATCCTCTTATGTAGCCAGTCACTTCCCTATTTAATCTTTACTTATGTTTTTATAATTCTTTCAAGACACGTTTCGCAAATAATAGTGGGACTGTCGTCGACCTAATCATAAAACTTTTCTTCGTGTTCTAAAAAAGTGATACAGGTATGTGACACTTGCCATAACCACATAAGACAATATAAATATATTTATTTGCGAAATTAAGCCCTTTGACCTTTAGTCACATGTGATACTTGGAAAAATTTCAATGAATGACGCAGTTTTTTCAACAGATTTAGTAGTCAGCGTTATCCGGGCACTTTACTTCTCTTCCTTTTGATACGAACACAGAAATCAACTTTTTGTCACTATTCTTGGCATATGGCCCTTTTTATTTGTATCTGTGAGTGAGAAGGGTGTGGGTGTGGGCTTGGTTGTGCTTGTAGATGTGGATGGTGAGTGTGCGTGTGGTGGTGAGTTTTGCATGTGGGTTTGGGTGTGTGTGTGGATGGATGGTACTGATATGGGTGTTACTATAAGATGTACACACACAAATACATTCGCACACCCACACACCCTATATCAAGTTCTTTTCTCACTTATTGATTTTCCGCATATGCATACTCAAATAACATCCTGGACTAATTTAAATCAAAGATTTATAGAAAATCTTTCTTCACTATTATACTTCTATGTAGCTAATACAACGTACACATCCTCATTGGCGTCGACCAGTGCAACATTCATTCGATGTACGGACTACAATGTCAAGGGTTACTATTTTGATGTTGTTCATATCACAGTACCAATGAACGCGTGTGGGTGGGTATGCGTATGGGTTTTGTAACGATAAATGAATACACTGACATTCACCCACGTCCATACGGCGTAAAATATGAATAAACATTGTAAATATGATTATCAATTAAATTTGGGTGTGGGTGTATGAGCCTTTCCTACTGCAGCTACACACACCCACACCCACACCCACACCCTCAATTTCGAAAATAATAATTTTATATCTAAATCTTGTTTGATCTTTATTAAATACGATAAAAGAATTATTATTCAATCAATTTAATTTAAAATATTTCAAAGGAAGAATATTATACACAATAGGTTCTCCATATTTGTATTTGGGTTCCATTATTGATAGATTATAAATATCATGAATAATTGAATGAAAAACAATGAATTCAAAAAAAATTATTAATTATAGAAAGAAATTATCTTTTTTTAAATTGATGAAAAATAGTTCTAGTCAAAACAAAAACTACCTGAGAAATTGTTAGATGACATACTCTGTTGAATTTATTATTAAAATCAACTTTTCTATGGTTCAAGTTGTTTGAAAATATTTATATTTTCATAGGATAATCGATAAACGAACCTCGATTTACCATAATAAAAATAACTACGTACATAATCAAGAATATAATACTTTTCTTACTTATTGTTTCTCAAGATAATGTTGAAATGTATTATTCACCTAAATGACAGTTTTCTTATTCATTAAAGAATTACTAAAGAAACATCCAACAACTCACAGATTTATATGAATGTTTAAAAAACTCCATACGAAATATCACATAATCAAAGACGCGTTGTAATAAAAAAACAAGTTATACATGAAATCTTTAAGCAATATCCAAAAAATCATTCGTACCATCAATCATGAATTTTCTATGAAATTATCGTCGCCCACCAATTCTGCATTTATAGAGACAATAGAAAACTATAAAAAAATAAAAGTAAAAACTCATCATTTACGTCCTATCACTACAAAAAAAATACTGCATTCGATTAGCTATTATCTCGTCAAATATCAACTTCCTGCATATGCATCAGTCTTACAAGAGAAAATTCGAATACTTAAAGAACCCTCTAACAACAGTTCTGTAAAGAAATTTTATTTTATAAATAGACAATATGTTGCTCTGGCAGATCGATATTACCATCGACCCGCATTTTCTCGTCATCGCAACTTGTATTTCATCGGATTTGAACAATTACCTCTTGCTATTTGTTGTAAGCAGGTTTTCATGGCAACTGGCAGAGCACGACATCTGTTTTGTCTTTACACATAACATGCTTTTTTTCTGTTCTGTACCTTGAATCATGTGCGAGGACAAAACCTATATTCAGCCTTCATTAGATATAGAATAGTTATCGCTTCTCGGCCTTTTCGGCTAAGATCAAAGTGTAGTATCTGTTCTCGTCGGTTTGAAAGCCGGCGCTGGTTCCATTGGAGCCAGGCACTTTCAAGCGGATTTTTGGATATCGACCGGGGCCCCGAGTTCACTCGAACCCGTGCCACGGATCGTCTCGACACTGCAGTGCCGTCGAGTTCGGTCCACTCCTGGTTCCTTTGGGAAACAGGAACTCATTACTGAAAAGAAAATAGAAGATAAATATCCTTTTTCTATCACACCAGATAGTGTTGTAGGCATATACATCTCCATAGCACTCTTCATGATAGTTGTCATGTGGAAGTGAGAATTAAACGAAACCGATTTTTTTCTCGAAAATGTACCAGAATATAAGGAAAGAGGTATGATTATTGTAACTGTGAATTAAATCAAGAAACGAGTAGAAACAAAATTATTTCTCATATCTACTAGTTTCGTGTTAGACAGAAATTTTTTTTTATTAGCTTCGATATATAAAATAGACAAGAAATATAATTGCTAATCGGTAAATACAGAATGCATTTTAACTTTCAAAAGCTTGATGCGCTTTTTTTCGTTAGCTGTCTCTATAATAGTAGAGAAATTATAAAGCAGATTCGTTGTTTTGGTCATCTGTATGGGTAGTTGTTATAATGTTTTCGTGTCTAATCATCGTTCGAATATGTTGATAAATAGAAAACAATTCTGCACAGTATAAGAGAAAGACTGTATAAAGAGGTATTCATCACAAGTATGAAATTTCTCGACAGATACTAAATGAAATAGATCTCAATGAAAACATTCTAGTGAATCAAATCAAAATATAAAAATTTTAGCCTAACTGTTTTTTTCTGAGACGTATTTGAATTTTTTTAAAACATCTTTCATTCTTTTTATAAGTACGTACGGTTCATAGTTTCTCAGTAAACTACATTTTTATTTTTAAGTGAATGAAATAAATAAGAAAAAACATAAAAAATTGCTGTTGTGAAATGTTCGAAAAAGGAATCATGGTCAGTGTGCAAGATTCTTATGAAAAATGATTCATCACTGAAAAAGATACTGACTTTTTTCTATAATATTTTATTTTGTTTCAATTTTACACAACACAATATGATCAAAAATATAATCGATAGAATAATATTTGAATAATAGAAATAGAAAATATTTGAACAATATGTATTCTTCGAATTCTTACAATGAAAATTAACATGAAGAAAACAAGATACAACTGTGAATGCATTCTGAATGTTGACTAAACAGATAAAATATTTTTAATTTTGAAGAGGTAAGTAATAATATATATTGTGTCTCTAGAATGCAATCTATTAACCAGATACTAAGTATACATCTCACGACATATAGACAACTATTATATTTGATGAAATAAAAAATATTCACTTATACAATTTTACACTTCAGTTGAATTGTATCATAACCTAAAATATCATGACACAGACATATTCTAATTACCGTTTGCTGCCTAAAAAAAGTACTCAAAACAATGATTCATTACTGTTTCTATTTACTGTAATATGTTGCTCTGGCAGGTCGATGTTGCCATTAACCCGCACATTCTCGTCATCGCAACATGTATTTGATCAGTATTGATCATTTACCTTTTGGTAATTTGTAATAAGCAATCTTTCTCGGCAGTGGGTTGCGCACGACATCTGCTTTGTCTTTACACATGTCATATAAGATTTTACATGGTATGTGTAAAGACAAAGCAGATGTCGTGCTCCACACATCACCAAGAGAAGTTGCTTATTACAATTTACCAAGAGGTAAATGATCAACCCTGATCAAATATATGT